CAGGGAGAGGGGGCGTTGGGTAATTTCCAAAACAAAATCCTGCACAGCAAAAAATGCTGAAAAGAATCGTTGGGAGTGAAGTCATGGGAAAAAAAACGAGTAAGTGCTTACTACTAAAACATTCGTGCATAAGCTATTGCTCACCAAAAAAATCATGCCCAATTTCCTTTCTTCCACACTCACTACTACACAACTTACATGTATATTTCTTTTTTATTTCTGTACTAAAGTAGTTTTAAAGTTATATATGTTTCGAATCTGTCCAATTAGTTTCTGCCCACTACCTTCCCCTATTATGAAAAGACGTCACTATGTTCCTTTACTTGCCTTCTTGCAGTCGTTTATTGGGTTTAATTGCCTGACACTAATGCTCATGGTGATTTTGCTTTTCTTTTTCTTTTTAATGACGTTTTAGATGTGAAATAAACAGACTGGGAGTAGTGTGGAAGCCTCAAGGGATTCAAGCTGCTGCTTGTATTACATTTCCCCCAAACGCTGTAACACAACCCGTGTTGTTCATATGCACACTCTTGGAGGACCCAATGCACTATCCACCTTTAAAGAAGGACGAAGCATTGGTAAGCGATGTGATAGAGCTTTCTTACGATGATCCGCATGGCTCCAATTTTACTGGAGATTTTGGTGAAATGGTATCAGTTGCCTTACCTCACAGTGCCACTAACCTTAGAGGGTATGAAATTGTTATCAGAGAGTTAGTAGATTCACACAACAATGACTGGAGAGATTTGGAGACAACAAACACATGGCAAGCGTCAGGTAATGAACTAAACCACTGATAATTTAAAGTACTATTGAAACCTTATATTTTTTGTGCTGAGTAAAACAGTTAGAATGGAGTAGGAACCCTACTTACAAACATTGCCTTCTTCTCTTTTGCAAAGAACGAAGGAACGAAAGAGGGGAAGATGTTTTTCCTACATACACATCTGAGAGTCAGGGTGCTAGTGTGCAAGGGGGCTGGTCACATGGTTTGTTGCTGTTTACCAGTTTTCTTGCTGCCCTTCACCATTGGCTGATCTCCCACCCACCCACCCTTCCGGCCTTCTGGCTTAGGGCCTCTTCATATGAGCCCGGTAACCAGGCTGGTTCGGTTGCCGGGACAAATTTTGATGTCTGTTTATATGGGAAATTTCAGCCTGGTCGACTGGGATGAAATTCAAGAAACAAAACCAAAATGGTGTAACACAGATTTGTATTGCTCGCAACTGTTGTAGCTTTGTGGACTCTATTAACCATACTGATAAGGGTAATTCGCATACTTCTGAAGTCAAGGTACATAAAAGACAAAAATTATGCCATTTTGATTGCTATGTTGTGAAAGCGAAGCACAAGCGAAGCAAAGCATCTTTTCCTGTTGCTTGTTTTTGTGTCGTGGCTCCCAGTTGTGTGTGAGAATTGAATGCTTTCTGGTGCTGACATTGATCGGCCATATGTGTTTTCTGTTTGTCCTTGTGCGTGAAGATTACATTTCAAATATCGCTCCCAGTTTGGTGTTTGGTGATACTATCTTCCCCGGCTAAACCAATATAACCAAATCAGACGTTCCATTAAACAAGGTTTATCAACCGGTTTGCATGATTGTATCTGACTGAGATGGGTAATCAAAAACAATCAGCTCCACAAAAAAATTGAAGCAATCTTGTGCATCGAATGGTTTATTGAGTTCGATTAGATTCGATGGTCAATTGGACTGCATTCGATTGTTATGATGTTGACTGTAATGTCATTCGATTATGATGTCCTCCTTTCCGTTGTTGTGAGTTCCTCCTCCACCCCACAGCCCTGCCTTTACATCTCTATTCTGATGATGTCAAAATTTTGACAGCATGCATTCTGGTCCAATTACGAGATGCCTCAAGATCGCAGACTAATATTTTTCATTGGAAATATTTCTACATTTCCCTAGTTTTAACTGAAAAACAGCTAAACTAACAGCTGGCATTACTATACTGAACTCACAGATATTCCTAGAATCGAGACATTGGAGGAAACAACTTGTCGGCACGTGGAAGACGGACGTTTTGCCTTCGTTGAAAAATTATGCTGAAAGACCTTAAACCAAGGGATTTCGGTTTCTACTGATGAATCTTCGTGAGAGTTATTCCTTAGCAAGAAAACACCCCTGTTTCTCTCTGTTAATTATCATAGTTCATTTTGTCTATTTATGAAACTTGGCAAATTAGTTGGGCATTTCAAAAGATTAAAAGACAGAAAAAGCACTGGTTTAGAGATATTCTTGCCGAAATGGAAAATAAAGATAAGTGTTATCAATGTTTAA